CCGCACCGTGACGTCACTGGCGGAAGATGGCAGGAGGGAGGTGTCACTGTATTTGGGCAAAAATGGCCGCTCCCAGACTCAGTGATGGCAATGAAAATGAGTGTTTAGATTTTTCTGATTAACACTAAATTAATTAAATCACCGCAAACGTATTAGTTTCAGGTAATAATAATAATCCATTGGTTATTCCTTGCTGACCAGATTTCCTTTAAAACTACTTTTATCATGACAAGGTCTAGTAATTAAAATCATTAGGTCCTTCAAATCGCATGTAACATGGAGAATAAAAAAATAAACTCCAAACAAAAGCTTGGGTCTCAGGAGGCTGCATAATACCGCTCATTTAACAAGCCGTTGCTCCATTATTTTGCGAGCAGAGTTGCATCTAACTAAAGCTCAAGGTGGTGAAATATAGACATAAAGAAGAATCAAAAAGGAAACTTTGAAAAACGTCCAGAAACTGATGATAATGACTATTTCAAAAGGTCCAGCCTCCAGGGCTGGATTAAGTCCTTAGGATGCTTAGTCTGAATGATAGTTAAATGTTTCCTTCATTGGTTTGTATCAACCAGAATAATCTCAAAGCCAGAAAAAATTTTCAAAACCAGAAAAACAGATATATATAATGCTCTAGTTCTTCCTTCCCGTTGAGTTCCTGTCAGGTTCTATTCTCAGTAGAAATGACAAAGACCTGAACACTGACCTGTAGATCTGAGGGAGCGGATGGTTTGGTCCATTCTGAGCTTTCTAGAGGGCAGCGGTCCGGTTCTCCGGCCTCGTACGCCCTAACTTCAGGTTTCTCCTCCTCAGTCTTCATCTCTTGGTTCTCCTCGATCGTCCTCTCTTGATTCTCGTCCTTCACCTCAGTCTCCCTCCCCTCATTCTCCTCAGTCTTAATCTCTTGGTTCTCCACCTTAATCTCTGTCTCTTGGTTCTCCTCCTTTACCTCAATCATTATCTCTACGTTCTCCTCCTTTAACACAGTCGCCATCTCTTGGTTCTCCTCCATTCTTCTTAGTTCCTATTAATCTCCAGTACCTATTTGGTCTCCAGATCCACACCCTGTTAGAACCAACAGGCAATCAGATTTAGGGTTTCTAAAGACATTTAATTGTAATGATAATGATGTTAATGAGGCATCTTAAAGCAAAACTGTATGTTTATCCTGTTTCACAGAAAGGCTGTTTTAATTATTGTGATCAATTTGCGCCCTCATTCCCGGCGCATGCGGGGAATGCAGTCTGGACGCTGAGGGTAAACATCCTGCGGCTCTGACTGCAGCGCTGAGGGGGACTCCTGTGGGAGCGTGAGAACTGGGTTGGGATGGGGGAGGCGCCCCACGGCAGCAGCTGCCGACGGTGGCGGATGACGCATTAATCGCGCGACACAACTAATCGATGATTAAATTCGTTGCCAGCGCTTTTAAAAGTCGATTTTTATCGATTTTATCGATTCGGTGTTGTAGCCCTAATCAGAACATTTATCAGAAAAGGAACATTTAGGGGAAAATGTGAATGAGGATGCTTGTGGACCAGGACTTTAATATTTTTAAAACAATAACTACAGTAAAAGCAGTAAATAAACTAGGCATCAATTTGAAATTAAGTGTAATTCAGATAAATCGAGTGATAAACTAGAGCTGCGCTTTGGCTGTGCAGCACGCCGCCGCCATATCTGTAGTTGAGACGGTCACAGTGGAAGACGTGGACCGACTCAAACCCCAAACAACATGGATGTCAAAAAATAACTAAATTATTAATATCTCTCATGCAAATATACACACCTGCTTTTTTATCTATACATTTCATTTGGATAGCTAGGGGAAAAAAATGCAATATATAGTGATATTCCAATATCAAGCCATGATAATATTCACCCCTACATTAAACTGGGCTTAAAAACGTATCTGTCAACATGATGCATCTGCTAAAAAAATGTCATTTAAATGATCCAGAATGTAGGAGCAGCCATTTTTATTTTCCTTTTCCTCTCAGTTATCACTCAACTTTTCTGAATTAAAGTTCATTTCAAATTGATTCTTAGTTTATTTACTTTTTTTTTACTGTACTTAATGTTTTGAAATTAGGAATTAAAAACCTAGTCCACAATCATCCTCATTCACATTTTCCCCTAAATGTTCACCTTATGATAAATGTTTACATTATTTATTGGCTGCATCTAAAAATATCAAAGATATTCTATTTTGAATTTAAACATAAATTAAATGTATTATTGTACTAGGTCAGAGGTCACAGATTAGCGGACCGCGCTCTGGATCTGTACCCTCCTGCTGGTTAATCCAGACCAAACCTGATTTATAACGTTTATTAATTACCGCATGTTGTCCAGCGACAGTGTCTAATTTCACTTGCGCATCTTCTCCTGTTAATACGGTAAAGCCCTGGGGAGCGTCCGGCTCCAGG